GTGGACAACCAGAATTCGGAATCCGTTGATCAGATTAATTGCCCTAGGTTCTCTATCAATGGTAATTTACTCTCCCATAAAGCTCTAGACAGCTAATTTTGAGGTGATAATTTAGTTTTTTTTTTGGTGAATTTACAGTTTTGCAGCTCTTGAAATCCGCTCAGATGCAGCATGGATTGCGGTTTGGCGATTACGCTCGTTACCGGTATAACCTACGCTTGTACACATATGGTATATGTTTATGAGTAATTTGGTACGATGAAATTCCGGGAAGTAGGCTTAATTTTTGTAAGAAATGCCGTTTGATATTGTTTTTACCAGTATATAAGCGTAAGTGTGCTCTATATAGGTTTATGAGGGAATTTATGACATTGATCATTGGAGGTGGCAGGGTTAAATTTGTGAAAAATGTGGTGTTATAGAGTTGTACTTTTGAGGGAATGTGAAATTGACCAGTTTTTGCAAATTTTTTAGGAGGTACTGTACTGCTCGGCTCAGGAGATTGTACAAGTCGTTGAAATTCACGCATGGCCGTGGTAAATATAGTAAAAGGGCGATTACAGCTTCTATGGTCACTGAAGTGAGGTAATAGATTGCCAAGACCAATGGTTGAATTTGATTGACATTACAGTTGGTAAATGTTTTAATTTCGCTTTTGCTATTTGAAGAACAAATATGCTGTTTTGTCTCTCATTAATAATTTCTTAATGGTCGTTAATCTATCCTGATTCTGCTTGGTGGTTGGGGACACTGTAGGTATCTTCATGTGGTTCTTTATACTGCAGAAAGAGCTTGGAGCCATGCTATGGAAAAGAAAACGCTGCCAGATGGTCCAAATGCACGTCAGCGTGGCTATCTGATTGGTAGGCTGCGAAAAGCAGTCAAATGGGCTACTTTGTTTCAAGACTTGTGTTCCATTAAGGGAGATTTTAGGACATCTTTGGAAGCAGAGGTGTGCTGATTAATTCATCATTTTGCACTGCTGTTGTACCCTGTATACAAATAAAGCTATTTTCGGTCAAAATACAATAAGAATATGCAAATTAAGATTCTATTGGTAAATATTAGTTATAATCATACAAAAAGAGAAGATAGCCCACAAGTTGGGCCCAATTACATACATGTGTTTATACTATTATTATTAAGCAAAATCAAATAGATATATATATATATATATGTGTGTGTGTGTGTGTTTTAAAAAATGTATTCACACACATAATTAGTGAGAAATGAAAAATTCATTTTTTGAAATGTGAGGGATGGAGAAATTCATTTTGTGTAATGTGAGGGATGAAAAAAATCATTTTATAAAATATGAGGGACGAAAAAATTTATTTTATAAAATGTGGAGGACTATAGATGAGATTATGTAAAATATAATTTGACAAATTTACCCTTAAAAAATGATCATGTGCCTTGCACATGATGGATTCCGGCCAAAAAATGATCGAAAACCTAGTTAAGGACTAAATTTGTCCGATGTGAATATGTAAGGGATATAAAATTACACTTTTAAAAGTGAGGGACGAAAAAAGTTATTTTACAAAATGTAAGGGACGTTTTGGACGATTTTCCCTAAATAAAATGAAGAAACTAGTTGTGGATACTAAATTCATATAAATGATGGACGAAATTAGTAAGCTACGATAAATTTAACAATGACCCCTAGGCTTTAAGTCTGTTGTCCACGTACCCATAAACAATTTGAATTACACATTAGACTCCAGTACTTGTCATAATCCATTAAACAGTAGACAACGCAGAGGAGACTAGGATTTTTATGTCGAGACCAAACAGGCTTCATTTACGTTCACTCAGCGACTAAACCAGAAAACTCCGCTGCCGGCAGTGTGCCACAAGCCAGGGGCATTTTGGACATCTTCAGAATCTTTCAAGCCACCTACATTCAAGCTGTCGGGCTAATTCCGATAAAGACGACGCCAAATTTAAGATCTGACGGAGATTTCACATTAACGATATGGCCAAAGAGAATAACTCCTCCGCTATGGATGTGGACAACCAGAATTGGGAATCCGTTGATCAGATTAATAGCCCTAGGTTCTCTATCAATGGTAATTTACTCTCCCATAAAGCTCTAGACAGCTAATTTTGAGGTGATAATTTAGTTTTTTTTTTTGGTGAATTTACAGTTTTGCAGCTCTTGAAATCGGCTCAGATGCAGCATGGATTGCGGTTTGGCGATTACGCTCGTTACCGGTATAACCTACGCTTGTACACTTATGGTATATGTTTATGAGTAATTTGGTACGATGAAGTTTCGGGAAGTAGGTTTAATTTTTGTAAGAAAAGCCGTTTGATATTGTTTTTACCAGTATATAAGCGTAAGTGTGCTCTATATAGGTTTATGAGGGAATTTATGACATTGATCATTAGAGGTGGCAGGGTTAAATTTGTGAAAAATGTGGTGTGATAGAGTTGTACTATTGAGGGAATGTGAAATTGTCCAGTTTTTGCAAATGTTTTAGGAGGTACTGTACTGCTCGGCTCAGGAGATTGTACAAGTCGTTGAAATTCACGCATGGCCGTGGTAAATATAGTAAAAGGGCGATTACAGCTTCTATGGTCACTGAAGTGAGGTAATAGATTGCCAAGACCAATGGTTGAATTTGATTGACATTACAGTTGGTAAATGTTTTAATTTCGCTTTTGCTATTTGAAGAACAAATATGCTGTTTTGTCTCTCATTAATAATTTCTTAATGGTCGTTAATCTATCCTGATTCTGCGTGGTGGTTGGAGACACTGTAGGTATCTTCATGTGGTTCTTTATACAGCAGAAAGAGCTTGGAGCCATGCTATGGAAAAGAAAACGCTGCCAGATGGTCCAAATGCACGTCAGCGTGGCTATCTGATTGGTAGGCTGCGAAAAGCAGTCAAATGGGCTACTTTGTTTCAAGACTTGTGTTCCATTAAGGGAGATTCTAGGACATCTTTGGAAGCAGAGGTGTGCTGATTAATTCATCATTTTGCACTGCTGCTGTACCCTGTATACAAATAAAGCTATTTTCGGTCAAAATACAATAAGAATATGCAAATTAAGGTTCTATTGGTAAATATTAGTTATAATCATACAAAAAGAGAAGATAACCCACAAGTTGGGCCCAATTACATACATGTGTTTATACTATTATTATTAAGCAAAATCAAATAAATATATATATGTGTGTGTGTGTGTGTTTACAAAAATGTATTCACACACATAATTAGTGAGAAATGAAAAATTCATTTTTTGAAATGTGAGGGATGGAGAAATTCATTTTGTGTAATGTGAGGGATGAAAAAATCATTTTATAAAATATGAGGGACGAAAAAATTTATTTTATAAAATGTGGAGGACTATAGATGTGATTATGTAAAATATAATTTGACAAATTTACCCTTAAAAAATGATCATGTGCCTTGCACATGATGGATTCCGGCCAAAAAATGATCGAAAACCTAGTTAGGGACTAAATTTGTCCGATGAGAATATGTAAGGGATATAAAATTACACTTTTAAAAGTGAGGGACGAAAAAAGTTATTTTACAAAATATAAGAGACGTTTTGGACGATTTTCCCTAAATAAAATGAAGAAACTAGTTGTGGATACTAAATTCATATAAATGATGGACGAAATTAGTAAGCTACGTTAAATTTAACAACGACCCCTAGGCTTTAAGTCTGTTGTCCACGTACCCATAAACAATTTGAATTACACATTGGACTCCAGTACTTGTCATAATCCATTACATAGTTGACAATGCAGAGGAGACTAGGATTTTTATGTCGAGACCAAACAGGCTTCATTTACGTTCACTCAGCGACTAAACCAGAAAACCCCGCCGCTGGCAGTGTGCCACAAGCCAGGGGCATTTTGGACATCTTCAGAATCTTTCAAGCCACCTACATTCAAGCTGTCGGGCTAATTCCCATAATGACGACGCCAAATTTAAGATCTGACGGAGATTTCACATTAACGATATGGCCAAAGAGAACAACTCCTCCGCTATGGATGTGGACAACCAGAATTCGGAATCCGTTGATCAGATTAATAGCCCTAGGTTCTCTATCAATGGTAATTTACTCTCCCATAAAGCTCTAGACAGCTAATTTTGAGGTGATAATTTAGTGTTTTTTTTTTGGTGAATTTACAGTTTTGCAGCTCTTGAAATCGGCTCAGATGCAGCATGGAATGCGGTTTGGCGATTACGCTCGTTACCGGTATAACCTACGCTTGTACACTTATGGTATATGTTTATGAGTAATTTGGTACGATGAAGTTCCGGGAAGTAGGTTTAATTTTTGTAAGAAATGCCGTTTCATATTATTTTTACCAGTATATAAGCGTAAGTGTGCTCTATATAGGTTTATGAGGGAATTTATGACATTGATCATTAGAGGTGGCAGGGTTAAATTTGTGAAAAATGTGGTGTGATAGAGTTGTACTATTGAGGGAATGTGAAATTGACCAGTTTTTGCAAATGTTTTAGGAGGTACTGTACTGCTCGGCTCAGGAGATTGTACAAGTCGTTGAAATTCACGCATGGCCGTGGTAAATATAGTAAAAGGGCGATTACAGCTTCTATGGTCACTGAAGTGAGGTAATAGATTGCCAAGACCAATGGTTGAATTTGATTGACATTACAGTTGGTAAATGTTTTAATTTCGCTTTTGCTATTTGAAGAACAAATTTGCTGCTTTGTCTCTCGTTAATAATTTCTTAAGTGGTCGTTAATCTATCTTGATTGCTTTCTGCATGGTGGTTGGGGACACTGTAGGTATCTTCATGTGGTTCTTTATACAGCAGAAAGAGCTTGGAGCCATGCTATGGAAAAGAAAACGCTGCCAGATGGTCCAAATGCACGTCAGCGTGGCTATCTGATTGGTAGGCTGCGAAAAGCAGTCAAATGGGCTACTTTGTTTCAAGACTTGTGTTCCATTAAGGGAGATTCTAGGACATCTTTGGAAGCAGAGGTGTGCTGATTAATTCATCATTTTGCACTGCTGCTGTACCCTGTATACAAATAAAGCTATTTTCGGTCAAAATACAATAAGAATATGAAAATTAAGGTTCTATTGGTAAATATTAGTTATAATCATACAAAAAGAGAAGATAGCCCACAAGTTGGGCCCGATTACATACATGTGTTTATACTATTATTGTTAAGCAAAATCAAATAGATATATATGTGTGTGTGTGTGTGTTTAAAAAAATGTATTCATACACATAATTAGTGAGAAATGAAAAATTCATTTTTTGAAATGTGAGGGATGGAGAAATTCATTTTGTGTAATGTGAGGGATGAAAAAAATCATTTTATAAAATATGAGGGACGAAAAAATTTATTTTATAAAATGTGGAGGACTATAGATGAGATTATGTAAAATATAATTTGACAAATTTACCCTTAAAAAATGATCATGTGCCTTGCACATGATGGATTCCGGCCAAAAAATGATCGAAAACCTAGTTGGGGACTAAATTTGTCCGATGTGAATATGTAAGGGATATAAAATTACACTTTTAAAAGTGAGGGACGAAAAAAGTTATTTTACAAAATATAAGGGACGTTTTGGACGATTTTCCCTAAATAAAATGAAGAAACTAGTTGTGGATACTAAATTCATATAAATGATGGACGAAATTAGTAAGCTACGATAAATTTAACAACGACCCCTAGGCTTTAAGTCTGTTGTCCACGTACCCATAAACAATTTGAATTACACATTCGACTCCAGTACTTGTCATAATCCATTAAATAGTAGACAACGCAGAGGAGACTAGGATTTTTATGTCGAGACCAAACAGGCTTCATTTACGTTCACTCAGCGACTAAACCAGAAAACCCCGCCGCCAGTAGTGTGCCACAAGCCAGGGGCATTTTGGACATCTTCAGAATCTTTCAAGCCACCTACAGTCAAGCTGTCGGGCTAATTCCCATAAAGACGACGCCAAATTTAAGATCTGACGGAGATTTCACATTAACGATATGGCCAAAGAGAACAACTCCTCCGCTATGGATGTGGACAACCAGAATTCGGAATCCGTTGATCAGATTAATAGCCCTAGGTTCTCTATCAATGGTAATTTACTCTCCCATAAAGCTCTAGACAGCTAATTTTGAGGTGATAATTTAGTTTTTTTTTTTTTTGGTGAATTTACAGTTTTGCAGCTCTTGAAATCGGTTCAGATGCAGCATGGATTGCGGTTTGGCGATTACACTCGTTACCGGTATAACCTACGCTTGTACACTTATGGTATATGTTTATGAGTAATTTGGTACGATGAAGTTCCGGGAAGTAGGTTTAATTTTTGTAAGAAATGCCGTTTCATATTGTTTTTACCAGTATATAAGCGTAAGTGTGCTCTATATAGGTTTATGAGGGAATTTATGACATTGATCATTAGAGGTGGCAGGGTTAAATTTGTGAAAAATGTGGTGTGATAGAGTTGTACTATTGAGGGATTGTGAAATTGACCAGTTTTTGCAAATTTTTTAGGAGGTACTGTACTGCTCGGCTCAGGAGATTGTACAAGTCGTTGAAATTCACGCATGGCCGCGGTAAATATAGTAAAAGGGCGATTACAGCTTCTATGGTTACTGAAATTAGGTAATAGATTGCCAAGACCAATGGTTGAATTTGATTGACATTACAGTTGGTAAATGTTTTAATTTCGCTTTTGCTATTTGACGAACAAATATGCTGTTTTGTCTCTCATTATTTATTTCTTAATGGTCGTTAATCTATCCTGATTCTGCGTGGTGGTTGGGGACACTGTAGGTATCTTCATGTGGTTTTTTATACAGCAGAAAGAGCTTGGAGCCATGCTATGGAAAAGAAAACGCTGCCAGATGGTCCAAATGCACGTCAGCGTGGCAATCTGATTGGTAGGCTGCGAAAAGCAGTAAAATGGGCTACTTTGTTTCAAGACTTGTGTTCCATTAAGGGAGATTCTAGGACATCTTTGGAAGCAGAGGTATGCTGATTAATTCATCATTTTGCACTGGTGCTGTGCCCTGTATACAAATAAAGCTATTTTCGGTCAAAATACAAAAAGAATATGCAAATTAAGATTCTATTGATAAATATTAGTTATAATCATACAAAAAGAGAAGATAGCCCACAAGTTGGGCCCAATTACATACATGTGTTTATACTACTATTATTAAGCAAAATCAAATAGATATATATATATGTGTGTGTGTGTGTGTGTTTAAAAAAAATGTATTCACACACATAATTAGTGAGAAATGAAAAAATCATTTTTTGAAATGTGAGGGATGGAGAAATTCATTTTGTGTAATGTGAGGGATGAAAAAAATCATTTTTTAAAATATGAGGGACGAAAAAATTTATTTTATAAAATGTGGAGGACTATAGATGAGATTATGTAAAATATAATTTGACAAATTTACCCTTAAAAAATGATCATGTGTCTTGCACATGATGGATTCCGGTCAAAAAATGATCGAAAACCTAGTTAGGGACTAAATTTGTCCGATGTGAATATGTAAGAGATATAAAATTACACTTTTAAAAGTGAGGGACGAAAAAAGTTATTTTACAAAATATAAGGGACGTTTTGGACGATTTTCCCTAAATAAAATGAAGAAACTAGTTGTGGATACTAAATTCATATAAATGATGGACGAAATTAGTAAGCTACGATAAATTTAACAACGACCCCTAGGCTTTAAGTCTGTTGTCCACGTACCCATAAACAATTTGAATTACACATTAGACTCCAGTACTTGTCATAATCCATTAAACAGTAGACAACGCAGAGGAGACTAGGATTTTTATGTCGAGACCAAACAGGCTTCATTTACGTTGACTCAGCGACTAAACCAGAAAACCCCGCCGCCGGCAGTGTGCCACAAGCCAGGGGCATTTTGGACATCTTCAGAATCTTTCAAGCAACCTACATTCAAGCTGTCGGGCTAATTCCGATAAAGGCGATGCCAAATTTAAGATCTGACGGAAATTTCACATTAACGATATGGCCAAAGAGAACAACTCCTCCGCTATGGATGTGGACAACCAGAATTCGGAATCCGTTGATCAGATTAATACCCCTAGGTTCTCTGTCAATGGTAATTTACTCTCCCATAAAGCTCTAGACAGCTAATTTTGAGGTGATAATTTAGTTTTTTTTTTTTGGTGAATTTACAGTTTTGCAACTCTTGAAATCGGCTCAGATGCAGCATGGATTGCGGTTTGGCGATTACGCTCGTTACCGGTATAACCTACGCTTGTACACTTATGGTATATGTTTATGAGTAATTTGGTACGATGAAGTTCCGGGAAGTAGGTTTAATTTTTGTAAGAAATGCCGTTTCATATTATTTTTACCAGTATATAAGCGTAAGTGTGCTCTATATAGGTTTATTTGGGAATTTATGACATTGATCATTAGAGGTGGCAGGGTTAAATTTGTGAAAAATGTGGTGTGATAGAGTTGTACTATTGAGGGAATGTGAAATTGACCAGTTTTTGCAAATTTTTTAGGAGGTACTGTACTGCTCGGCTCAGGAGATTGTACAAGTTGTTGAAATTCACGCATGGCCGCGGTAAATATGGTAAAAGGGCGATTACAGCTTCTATGGTTACTGAAATGAGGTAATAGATTGCCAAGACCAATGGTTGAATTTGATTGACATTACAGTTGGTAAATGTTTTAATTTCGCTTTTGCTATTTGAAGAACAAATATGCTGTTTTGTCTCTCATTATTAATTTCTTAATGGTCGTTAATCTATCCTGATTCTGCGTGGTGGTTGGGGACACTGTAGGTATCTTCATGTGGTTCTTTATACAGCAGAAAGAGCTTGGAGCCATGCTATGGAAAAGAAAACGCTGCCAGATGGTCCAAATGCACGTCAGCGTGGCGATCTGATTGGTAGGCTGCGAAAAGCTGTAAAATGGGCTACTTTGTTTCAAGACTTGTGTTCCATTAAGGGAGATTCTAGGACATCTTTGGAAGCAGAGATATGCTGATTAATTCATCATTTTGCACTGGTGCTGTGCCCTGTATACAAATAAAGCTATTTTTGGTCAAAATACAAAAAGAATATGCAAATTAAGGTTCTATTGATAAATATTAGTTATAATCATACAAAAAGAGAAGATAGCCCACAAGTTGGGCCCAATTACATACATGTGTTTATACTATTATTATTAAGCAAAATCAAATAGATATATATATATGTGTGTGTGTGTGTGTGTTTAAAAAAAATGTATTCACACACATAATTAGTGAGAAATGAAAAAATCATTTTTTGAAATGTGAGGGATGGAGAAATTCATTTTGTGTAATGTGAGGGATGAAAAAAATCATTTTTTAAAATATGAGGGACGAAAAAATTTGTATTATGAAATGTGGAGGACTATAGATGAGATTATGTAAAATATAATTTGACAAATTTACCCTTAAAAAATGATCATGTGCATTGCACATGATGGATTCCGGCCAAAAAATGATCGAAAACCTAGTTAGGGACTAAATTTGTCCGATGTGAATATGTAAGGGATATAAAATTACACTTTTAAAAGTGAGGGACGAAAAAAGTTATTTTACAAAATCTAAGGGACGTTTTGGACGATTTTCCCTAAATAAAATGAAGAAACTAGTTGTGGATACTAAATTCATATAAATAATGGACGAAATTAGTAAGTTATGATAAATTTAACAATGACCCCTAGGCTTTAAGTCTGTTGTCCACGTACCCATAAACAATTTGAATTACACATTAGACTCCAGTACTTGTCATAATCCATTAAACAGTAGACAACGCAGAGGAGACTAGGATTTTTATGTCGAGACCAAACAGGCTTCATTTACATTCACTCAGCGACTAAACCAGAAAACCCCGCCGCCGGCAGTGTGCCACAAGCCAGGGGCATTTTGGACATCTTCAGAATCTTTCAAGCAACCTACATTCAAGCTGTCGGGCTAATTCCGATAAAGACGATGCCAAATTTAAGATCTGACGGAAATTTCACATTAACGATATGGCCAAAGAGAACAACTCCTCCGCTATGGATGTGGACAACCAGAATTCGGAATCCGTTGATCAGATTAATAGCCCTAGGTTCTCTATCAATGGTAATTTACTCTCCCATAAAGCTCTAGACAGCTAATTTTGAGGTGATAATTTAGTTTTTTTTTTTGGTGAATTTACAGTTTTGCAGCTCTTGAAATCGGCTCAGATGCAGCATGGATTGCTGTTTGGCGATTACGCTCGTTACCGGTATAACCTACGCTTGTACACTTATGGTATATGTTTATGAGTAATTTGGTACGATGAAGTTCCGGGAAGTAGGTTTAATTTTTGTAAGAAATGCCGTTTCATATTGTTTTTACCAGTATATAAGCGTAAGTGTGCTCTATATAGGTTTATGAGGGAATTTATGACATTGATCATTAGAGGTGGCAGGGTTAAATTTGTGAAAAATGTGGTGTGATAGAGTTGTACTATTGAGGGAATGTGAAATTGACCAGTTTTTGCAAATTTTTTAGGAGGTACTGTACTGCTCGGCTCAGGAGATTGTACAAGTCGTTGAAATTCACGCATGACCGTGGTAAATATAGTAAAAGGGCGATTACTGCTTCTATGGTCACTGAAGTGAGGTAATAGATTGCCAAGACCAATGGTTGAATTTGATTGACATTACAGTTGGTAAATGTTTTAATTTCGCTTTTGCTATTTGAAGAACAAATATGCTGTTTTGTCTCTCATTATTAATTTCTTAATGGTCGTTAATCTATCCTGATTCTGCGTGGTGGTTGGGGACACTGTAGGTATCTTCATGTGGTTCTTTATACAGCAGAAAGAGCTTGGAGCCATGCTATGGAAAAGAAAACGCTGCCAGATGGTCCAAATGCACGTCAGCGTGGCTATCTGATTGGTAGGCTGCGAAAAGCAGTCAAATGGGCAACTTTGTTTCAAGACTTGTGTTCCATTAAGGGAGATTCTATGACATCTTTGAAAGCAGAGGTGTGCTGATTAATTCATCATTTTGCACTGCTGCTGGGCCCTGTATACAAATAAAGCTATTTTCGGTCAAAATACAATAAGAATATGCAAATTAAGGTTCTATTGGTAAATATTAGTTATAATCATACAAAAAGAGAAGATAACCCACAAGTTGGGCCCAATTACATACATGTGTTTATACTATTATTATTAAGCAAAATCAAATAAATATATATATGTGTGTGTGTGTGTGTTTACAAAAATGTATTCACACACATAATTAGTGAGAAATGAA